TGGGCGGCGGGGTCCCTCCGCCTGTGCAGCTTTGCTCGGGTCTCCCTGAGTGCCTGGGGGGGGGGGGGCCGCAGCTAGTGCACCCCCTCCGTCCCCAGCAGACCAGGCTTTTGTTGCGGGACGCCTCGAGTAGAGCAGCTGGGGTGCTGCCGGGTTGGTCCTGTGGGAACCTACCGGGCAGTGCCCCAGCTGTTCTGTCCCAGGCTCCAGATTCAGCAGCTGTTGAAACTGATCAGGCTGATTCCAGGAAGCTGGGGGCAGAGCAACTCTGCCTCCGGCTTCCTGTAGTCAGCCCCTGATCAGTTTCAGTGGCAGCAGCTGAATCTGGAGCCAGTTCCGACTTACATACTAATTCAACTTAAGAACAAACCTATAGTCCCTATCTTGTACGTAACCCGGGGACTGCCTGTACTTATGACAGTGAGATATGCAAAAGTGCAACACTAAGATATTAAAAAAAAATGCCATGAACAATATTAAGATGGCAATTCAAAAGGCTTTGATTGAACCATTTATTGAATCATTTTTCAGATTCACACAAAGCAGAATAACAGTTTTCATTATTTCTGTGAAAATCCTCATTCTGAATTGGCAATTTTGGGTTTCTGAATTGCTTAAAATTACTTTAACTTCCTATTATGTCATGAATTCAATTGAGACCTTGAATTACATATATTCCTGATGTAGGTTTTAAGTTCCGAAAATTGGTAAACTCATAAGTACAAAATACATGACAAGTCTTAGTTGAAACCCAGCTGACAAAGTTGAGGAGCCCCAAATCAAACCTAAAAATAAATTGCTCCTCTCGTGACATTTAATTTAAACGCATCTTCTTTGTATTGGATCAGAAGTCCGTTGTCTGAAACAAGGGTGCAATAGAGCTAGAGCTCCAACATGTCAAGAGTGCAATTTAACAGCAACCTCAAAAAATGGCTAGATTGCAATCTGCATGCACACATGCTATCCCTACCTTCTTTTGGAACAGGAAGCATACTGAAATGTATAAGAATATAATTTTCTACTACGGAAGTAGAGCAGAGCAAGTCAAGAGGGCTATCACGTATATAGCCAAAAGCCAGCATTTTAGACCCAACCACCTTGTTTATGTTATTTAAAATTAAATAGATACTGACTCCACAACTATCCATTGTAGTGGGAATGTTCTTGTCCTTCACCCAGAGAATAAAGGACAACTCATCATATTTACCTGTGCTCGAATAGCAAGATTCCTGCATTCCACCCCAAAACTACAATGAAAGTCTTTTGATTTGCTGCTACTTTGTTAGGGTGACATTAAACAAAAGTTCACCTTTTTCTTCACCATAATGTCCTCTGTGAATGCCAGACTGCATGTTGTATACATCTATATGTCCTGTTGAAAGCCCAATTACAGCAAAGTTTCCACATGTAGTAATGTCAACTGCCTTGAAAGAAGAAAAAAAAATGAGAAAGGAACTTAACATACACAGCTCATTAGCAAAGACAAAATATATTTAATTGTAGATGTGTTTGTCTATATGCAGCAGTTACAAAGCATCTCATAATATTCATAAAGAAAAATCTTCAATCTCTCTATTACAATTTTCTTGTGAGCTTAACATTAAACCAACCAACATTCACCACCTCACACAAAAAATAAAGTTATTTGCTTTCTTGAGAGAAGTTATGATAAAAATAAGCATGACAGAAAGAGTAAGCAATGAAAATGATTGCTGCTGAATTGTTTTATGTGCACTCATAGCCACCTAATAATGTTGTTTACAATTAGTTATTGATCACATGCATCGTACTGCCTGATATCACTGTAACCTCAAAAACGAAATGCTCCATTGCACAAAAAGACAGGCTAGGGGAATTAAGTTCCAGGTCTGCTGCCACCAGAATACAGGTTAATCTCTCTAGTTTGACACCCTGGGGACCTGACTGGTGCCAAACAAGAGAATTTGCAGAACTATTGGAGGTCAATATTGTCTGACAGCATTATCAACTACTTAGCTGGCTCTTAGAAGACATTTAGGGGTAAATTAAAGCTAAACAGGAGCACAGAGTAAAGAAAGCCAGGACTGGTGGTTGTAAATTATGGAACTGCAGGAAACTTGGCCACACCCAGGATAAGTTGACATCACGCTAACTAAAATCATGTCAGACCAGAGAGTTCCAGATTAGAGAGGTTCAACCTGTAACAGTACAGTATCTGAAAACAATCAACTACGGATCTATGCACACAAGAGGTGAGTGTTGACATTTTAGATCTTACAACCCAGAACTAAAGAAGCAAGAGACATCACAAAGAGAGGTTTGGTGATGTGTGTGAAAAGACAATTCAGACCAATAGTTAAACCCACTGTATTTGGAACTGCAAGATCACCTAACACTACCAAATTCCAAAGTGCTAGCTAGCTATTTGCCTATAATGGGATATTTGTAAGTTCCCTGATGCACCACTTCAACATATATAAAGAATTCTCTAGTCTAAATTCTCCATGTCTAAAATAGCATAATCTAACTGCTTAGCAATATATTTACTTTTTTAGCTGGAAAAGATTTCACTCATCTGTAGTAAGCTGAGGGCAGAAAAAATGATATTGCATAATAGGAAACAAAACAGAATATAAATGGAATATATTCTGAACTAAACTCAGGGAAGTCATATCAGGAGCTGGCAGAAATCCCTATATTTAGGTTGCCTAACTCTTTTCATTATTTCCAGAATTAAAACCTTTTCTTTGAGAAGCTCTCACACTTCCATAGTTTGCAGCAGGCCTTTGAAATTCCACAGGGTAAATACTCTTAGCTACAGAAGTGCCTTTTTGGCTTGTCCCTTGAAATTTCAGCCTGATTATCCAAGATATACATTGTTTTAAGAAAGAATCACCAATTTTTCTTCTCTCACTTGGGTTCTTCAGGAAATTAAATGTTGGCATCTTGCCAAAATAATAAGGTGAAGCTTCTAAGGCTGGTTTATGCTACTGCAAAAGCACCAGCAACACACTCTCCCTCTCCTGCACCGATGCCCTCCACTCCTAAACCAGGGCATCTGGGAGCTGCTGAAGTAGTGGGGTGCAAGAGAAGAGCAGCCCATTTCTACTATCCAGCCACACCTTTCTCTGAAACAAACACACAGCATGATTCTCACTTTCCCTCTGGGGCACCATATGGGGCAAAAGCTTCCCCATCTCCTATACACTCAGACTAGTGAATACCAAGAAGGGCTCCCTGTACCCACATGTAGTACATGGCCCCAGGAGCCCAACCTGCACACACTGGTGGGCAACCTGGGTTTCACAGGCAACCATAATTTTAACCCTTTGTGCAGATGCATTATGATAAATACTATTGTATTTTTCCTATGGAACTCTTAATTTGACCGCACTGGTTGGATATCAACAATGCAGAATTAAGGCTGCCTGTGATATTCTAAATTTGAGTGCTCAACATGGCATCCTTACCATTCTTTTAATGTACTTTTTTGTATGCAACTTAGAATATGCCTACCATTTTCAAAGATGTTAATCTTGAGACAAATATTACTCAACAGATCCTTACAAAATAGTCATAAAAGTTAACCAGACTAGGTACAAAATCTTCTCTCCAATCATAAACAAAGATGAAAGTGAGAGGAACAAAGGAACACACTATATAAACATTTATGGAGTAACTACTAATCTTCAAATAATTGGACCCCATAAAACCAAAATTTGTTTTTCCACCAATTGATTTCTGAGTCAGGTAAAACAATTTTAGATAACTTGGAGTTTCAAGATGAAGATTCAAATAATCAGCATGTATTATTACTCATTTTTAAAAACTATTAATCCCAATTTAGATGATAAACAGAATTTTGCAAGGCTTATTTAGATGTTTACTAAGTGCTTCCTGGTCTCATGTATTCAGTTTCTGAACAATTGGATAGCAAATTAGCAGCCATTCTACAATATAAAAGATACACAATTACTCCAAAATTAAACTTACTGTTGCATATATATTAAGAGGTTTGTTTTTGCTGAATGCTTTTGGTTTCAGTTTATGGGCTCCCATGGAAGTTTTCTGGTAGTTCCAGGTTGTACAAGTTATATAACCTTGATGGCAAGCAATGATCCCATCCCAGTCATTCTGACGTGCTATCTCTGCAATACAATCCAAATTGCTTATTACAGAAACTGACATTCTGAAATAAGGGATTCTTACATCACAATTTATGACATTTCCAAAGCCATTATGTGACAAAGCCATTGTAATTTTATATTTTCACTGACTAGTCAAAAGACTATAGTAAAAAAGCTAGAGTAAACAGTGCTAAAATATATATTAAAAATACAACTGGAGATAATGAACCCGAACCACATATGGAAGCTACATTCTCACCACTAGAATATGAATTGTTACAATCTAGATTTATAACCATTCTGTACACAAGGGTGGATACGTTTTTTTAAGTTATTAAAACTTGTTTTGCATTGGAAACTCGTTTATTAAACTGGCAGGATGCTGGGAACAGGGTTGCTGAGGCAGCTCTCTGTCACACCAGCTTCCATTTTAGGGGAATAAATTAATGCTGGCTGGACATAACCTGGCCTTAATTGAGGAAGCAAAGACAGCTGCTGCCTAATTATCCTGGAGCTGTATAAATTACTCAGGGAAAGGAAGCCCAAAAGGGAGTAGAAAGGAAAAAAGTCAAGGAGGTAGCTTGTCCCTCCTACAGACAGAAGACAACTAGCTGTCCACAGTGAAACTATAATAGGAATAAGCCTGTGAAATAACTGGAGCAGTGGTTACTAATGCCAGAATTTCAGAACGACTTTGTAGAACTAAGAGTATGTCTGCACTGACACCCTAGTTCGAACTAGGGTGGCTAATGTAGGCATTCAAACATGCAAATGAAGTCCGGGATTTAAATATCCCGGGCTTCATTTGCATGTTCCCGGGCGGGCGCCGTTTTTAAATGCCCGTAGTTCGAACTACCTGCCCACGGCTACACGCGGCATGGACTAGGTTGTTCGAATTAAAGCTCCTAATTCGAACTACCGTTAAACCTCCTTGCAGGAGGAATAACGGTAGTTCGAATTAGGAGCTTTAATTCGAACAACCTAGTCTGTGTCGCGTGTAGCCGTGGGCAGGTAGTTCGAACTACGGGCATTTAAAAACGGCGCCCGCCCGGGAACATGCAAATGAAGCCCAGGATATTTAAATCCCAGGCTTCATTTGCAAATTCGAGTGCCTACATTAGCCACCCTTGTTCAAACTAGGGTGGCAGTGTAGACATACCGTAATAGAGGCAGGAGCCAAAGGGTCTCAATAACAAAGGAAGTATCTGTTGTATTTTATTAACTGAAATGATTGTTTTTGACCTGTACATGCTTCAAGATTTTAGAACTAGCACAGTTCAACCTCTCACAGTTCGTTTTTATTCATACCTTTGAAAAGAAACAAAACAAAAAACTCAAAGAGCTGTCCTGCTTTTTTTCAACTCCCAAATAGTTTAACTTTGAATGAACTATTGAACTGAACTGGATGAATGAACTGAAGAAAATATTCTCTCACCTGAAGACAAGTCTAAAAACTTAAACTCTAGGCAAATGACTTCCTCCAGTTCAGTGGTTTCAATTTCTTTAAAACTTAGCAAACATACTGGTATTTATTGTTTTGCATCTAAATAATTAATAGATCATAAGAAGGCAAGCAAGCCTTAACGTATAGTTTATCAATTTCAATTAAATTTTAAAAGGGTCTATTTAAAAAAAACAAACTGGTATTTAAATAAAATATAAATTTTAATTTTTAAATAGATTTTTATTCACACTGCTGTACCTTTTTTACTAGGCTTAACAGAACAATAAGTCTGCACAACTTTGGACATTGGAAAAAATAAAGAAGCAAAGTGAAATTCTTCTGAAAACTGCTCGTTAAAAGCTCTGGAGATAGAAATAATCTAGTTAAGCAAAAAACACAACAAGCAGAAGTACTGCTACATGCTCTGTACTGCTCTGTACATGTCAACCCTGAACTGGAGCAATTGCCTTTAGTAGTAAGAAAAGATTAGTCCTTACATCCAATCATTGAAATCTGAGACTACTGTCCAAGGCAGAACCATACAAAATGGCTGCCCATCGTAAGCTGACCACAGAAGATCTCACAAGCAGGAGCAGGTATAGGGGGCTCTGTCAGTAGGGTGGAACATCTTCCATACAAGGGCATAAGAACTTAAACAAAATAATTATTCTCCCCTGCTCACGCCTCCCACTGCGGCAAAAACCAGCCAATGAGCTGGATCTGTAAGCAGGTGATAAAACAGGCAGGCAATCCCTCTCTCACCCGGGAATTGCATCGTGGGAACGCCTGGCCTGATCACCCAGATGCCTTGCTCCCCCCCCCCTGCTCCCGAGTGTTTGGTAGACCCGAGTGGAGGCAGTTAGAGAGCATGTGGCTGGCCCTTGTGTTCCTGCTGCCTTCAGAAAGGGTATAATCCCCTCCCACACCGTTTGCCATCAACTCTGTAATTGACCTGCTTTGGTCCCCTTTGATGTTCATTGATTGTTATTCATTGGAAGTTTAGTTTAAAGGTGAGGAGGGTTGTTAGTCACCCAATCACACATAATTGACCACTAATAGTCTTTCTTATCCCACATTTAGATAACAAGTGTAAATAGTTACCTCCATGAATGAGACCAGCACTAAGGTTGCCATTGTCAACCCCTGGGGGTCCACTTCGCCAATTACTGCGATTTAGAAAATCCCCAGGGAATTATTTGTTATGGCCTGGTGATGTTTATTTTTTATTTTAATGATGATCTGGCGTCCACATATGTAACTGTAATGAGTTGCAATTGACTATAATTGACTGTAAATCATACTCAGGTGAACTCTCCCAAAAGTTAAAGGAGTGCCAGTGTTTGTAATAATAAAAACCAGGATTTCTCTTTAGTTTTGAGTCATGGTCTCATCCTTCCAGCATCCCCTTCGAGCCTAGAATTTTAGCGGGGCAGGACAACTACCAAACGACCAAATTAATGCCAACTACAGTAATCATTTGTGTGACATGGATATTTGTTCACTAAGAAAAGGAAAGACTACCACCTTATTTCCATGTGGAATAAAGAGTCAGATAGAAATTTGTACCTCCATTTTTTCTGTTGTTGTCCTGTCCACTTAAGACAACGAAAATTACTATAAAAAAATTTCCTCTGCTCCCCCATTCAAAAATTGAATATGCTAGAAGTTTGCACTTATTAATTTAATTGAATCAGCAGTATTGTTTTAAAAAAAATGTATCATTGGAGGCCAGTGTTCTCTCTAAACTGTGCAGCAGCACAGCTTCACGGGTGATTAATCAGCCCCGCCCAGTCAGTCAGCTCCTTGCAGGAACCCTGAGCATCTGACTGGGTGGAGCTGATTAATTACCTGTGAAGATGTGCTACTGCACAGCTTAGACTAGAAGGAACACTGCTGGAGGCTAATACTTTTGTTTCACCACCCCCCACGCTAAGAGCTCATTACCTGTAGGAATCTCAAACCTATATTCTCTGAAAAACAAACCATGAACGTTCACTAATTTGATTTTATTAATTCTCTATTGCATTAGCACCTACATGCCACAAATGAGAACAAAGCCCTTCTGCAAAAGATACTATACAGAACACATAATATGAGCTCATCACTACCCCAGGAGCTTGTAACTGTTATCTGATACATACATGCTAGGCATAGTATACCCTATGTTAATAGGTATTACGTGCATGGTATTAATAGAATACGCATTATATGTATGGCTAATGGGAAGTTATGTTAACTGAATTTATTAAGCTCTTCCCACAATTTGAGCACTCCACAATATTCCGCAAAGCTTAACGACTCCTTAGGTATTAGACAAATAGGCAACTTGCCAAAACCAAAAAATGCATGAATAGTTTGTAGCAAGTACAATTAGGAAACAGGTATAGCAGTGTGGAAAAAAAATCTATTTAAAAATTTTAAATCCCAAATTTATTTAAATTAAATACAAGTTCATTTTTTAAAAATAGATCTATTTAAAATTAAATCAAAACTAACAACCTATATAAATGCCTAAAACTTAGCAATATTTAGAATGTAGTATTCAAAACAAAATAAGAGCAAGTGTAAGAGGAACAAACAATGAAGCTAGACTAAACTAATAGGTTATGCTTAGGCTTTGTCTACACTACACATTTTTGCGGCAGAAAATTTATGCTAATGAGTTCCTCATTAGTATAAATCATGACCCATTCTCATATTTTTTGCCCTTTCTTTTTATGCAAGGGTTTTTTTACGCAAAACGGAAGCAGCTACAGTGCTTCTTTTTGTGCAAAAACTCCTTCCACAAAAAGAAACGGCAGAAAATATGCTAATGATATCACAACTTACGCTAATGAGTCCCTCAGAATATTTTCTGCCGCAAAAGTGTGTAGTGTAGACGTAGCCATAGAGTTTAAGTGACATGTAAAACGTGAAACTTTGAAGCATACTTTCTGTGAAATATGAAAATGCTGCAAAAATCTGATTCCTGGAAGGAGACTACATATACTCTCCTTTTTGTATTGCACTGCTTTGTCTCTAGACAATAAATTAGGCTAAGTTCAGATATTTAGTCACTGGAACACGTAAAAAAAATGAACTGCAATTACAGACAAGAAAAATGCACAGGAAGGGAAACAAAAAGGAGAAAAATATAGAGTGATTTTATCCAAGGCCTCACACTTGATCAGTGTCCATGCTAGGAATAGATCTCAGGTCTCCTGGCTCTCACTAGTAACTTTATCCACTACAACATGTTCCACATCAGATAAATTCTAAATATTTTAACACTCTTGAAAGACTTGCACTAACAGCCAAGTAGGTCAACAAGTTTAGGTAACTTAAGGACATGGCGCTATAACCTAGTATAACAATTACAGAAACACTGGATAACAATTACTATGGAAAGAGCCAAACCAGGGACATGTGTTACGCAATATGTGACCAACCAAACTGTTAGCTTTAAAATTACACAAATTATAATTGAACATTATCTTGTTACAATACACAGGTTATTTATATGTTGACATTGTTAAAATGAAATTGGCACTACAATTGCTTCTGGTGCAAGAGGATGGGGTTTGGGGACATACTCTTAAATAGAAAATCCTTCCAATGTATTATCACAAATTTTTAAAAAAATCCAGTCTGAGAAACATCATATTGTAGGAACTATAAAAACCATACTGAACTATTTCTCTTCATACATTCATCCACATACAATTTTACAGACAACACAGGATTGACACATACATTAGTAACAGTAAGATAATTTGACTGTGCCATGAACATGCATAAATTGCAAATAGCTATTTCCTTACACTAGCAACTTCTCCCACTGGTTCCCCGATTGCTAGTCCTACAAACTTAATTGGGAAAATATAAAGAAAGTGAGGGTGTTTCTGACTTGTGTATGACCAACAAAAATTATTCAATCAATATTTAGTTAACAATTCCAAAGATGCTTAGATACCTTTGTTGGGTCTGTAACTATAAGGAGAGTTTTCAGAAGGAACAGTTTATATCTAGAAGATGTCCATTTTGAAGTTTGCATGGGACGCCACGACTCTGTCTCTTTCAGACAGAAACACGCTTCCCCTTTCAGAGCCGTGAGTGCGGGAGCCGCAATTTTTTCTTTCAAGAGCCGCATGTGGCTCGTGAGCCGCAGGTTGGCCACCCCTGGCCTATACCATTCTAACACATCTCCTCTAAAAGATTAATTGGGGTTTCTGATAAATTTGTAAATTTCTGAGTAGGTTACAAAAATGTAAAAATGAAGGTTACTGTGAGTAAAGGGACCGTTCTCTCCCACATGTTGTAAAATATTACCTACCTGTTGCAAATGTTGTGATGGGTGGAAGAGCCAGTGTGTCATACTGAAGACCTTTCTTTTTTGATTTCTTTTTGTTTATAGAACCTTTAAAACACCAGAACAATGTCAGCAACTCTAAGTCAGTTTGTGATTACAGATTTTTTTTAACTTTACTTAAGGTATTGACTATTAAATGTAAAGTTCACAGTAAAAGTAGAGAATACATTAATTCTTGTTTAAAAAAACCTATTTCTAAAATGTACCAATTAAAACTTAACCATTCAGCTATTTCTGAGTTTGAGATTAGAGAGAAAAATTGTTTTACCCATGTTAAAAAAATTCCTAAGAGATTAAATAAGGAACATAACATACTTCTAAAATGATGTCCTAGCAGGGGAAAAAAAGCCTTAAAAGCCACCCTATTAGCTAGCTGCAAGGTGCAGATGGAAGTGGAGAGGAGTTTGATAGCCTAATTCAGGACAATACAAACTAAAGGGGTGAGCTAGAAGAGAGAAAGTAATAGAAAAAAAAGATGCCTACAATTATTTTGTTTGCCAGTACAAAATCATTCATATTCAAAAGACTAGAAATTATTTCCCACAGTAGAAGGATATAGGTTTTAAAACGTCAGTCTTTAAATTAATTTGAATCAATTTTCTAAAACGTTTTATCATACTACTACACAAAAGATAATTCACATATATTGTATATAAAAATGTGCCCTGAAGCTCATCAGGCCATATCAGATATGCATTGGCAATCATACAAATAAAAAAAACAAAAAAGTCTTCTTTAATACTACATTTTAACATAATTAAAAAATGCCACTCTCTTCATTTGTACATTTTTTGTAGTACTTACCATGTCCTAAACTTTTATTGAACCTTTCATGCACTGTAGAAAAAGACTGCAAGGTTCCATCCTGACCTGGTGGAATAATAAGAAAAACGTAAATAACTACCCATGCCAAAGTTATCAAATGACTTTTTCTGATTTTTGTAACAACAACAAACCAGCATGCTACAGAAATAGTAAAGCAATTTATGTCCAAATTTTGACATACAATAGTCTCAGACAAAAAGAGGATAATCTGGAGTTTGGGTTAAAAACATAAGTTTACACATACAAAAAGCCCACAAGTTTAGAGTTACCCAAAACAAGCACTATGAACCTAGGAAATGAGTAAAAGTTAACCTGCTTGGGTTTCTTTAAAGATTAAAGCATCAAAAAACAAACCAACTAACTCTGCTATCAGGGAGTAAAAAAAAAGGCAGATGAGTGAAAACAAGGAAAAAAGGCCTCAAGGGACAGAGATGATTCAAGTATGTAAAATCCCATTTAACCAATTCCGTAGGCTTTTCCCCAGAATCTGGGTCCCCAGCTGATCCCAGTTCCACTGAAATGCTGCACAGAGCCCAGGATCAGCTGGGGCCATTCCCAACTGATCCTGGGCTTCACAGTGCTGCCCCTTTGAAAGGCTGCCTCAGTGTTTCAAAGGAGCAGTCCCCGCACAGCTGATCCCCAGCTCAGCTGTATGGCACTGCTGCTTTGAAGGGGGGAGGGGGGGGAGAGAGAAATCAACTAGTCAACTGACTATCTGATAAACATTTGCTTATCGGATAGTCAACTAGTCCTTAACATCCTTAAAAACTATACAGCCCTAATACAGCCTGTTGATTATCAATACACAGTTTCAAACACTCCACTGAATACATCTTCCTGCCAAGTAAGTCCACTCTCTTTTTGCCCTTTGATTTGGGTGTGGCAGTCTGATATCTGTGTCACTGTCTCATTAGCTGCCATTACTAATAACCCTAGACATGCATGGGTACAGACACTCAAAAATCTTGAGCAGGTACATAATATTTTCTCATTGCCCTTTTTCATGTGGGAGAGACTGATGATGGGCTCTGTCCTGGAGCTTTAATAGGCACTAGTATTGCCTCATTAGTTGGCAGAGACACTTGGAAGGACCTAGAATTGATATCAAGTGATACTGATGTCAGCTGATACGTGGACTAGTAAAAGTCACCCATAATGAGTTATGATTACTGTAATCAGTTAACCATGCAGGACCAGCCAATCACCTGCCTGTGGCATGATGGGCTCAGCCCAAATAGCCCCTGCCTGTGGTGTGGAGGGCTCAGCCCAGCACAAGCAGCTCCTCACTTGCAGCAGGCTCAACCCAGACTGCCTGGAGCAACCCACAGCACAATGGGCCTGGCAGGGCTGGTGTGCCCCCCACCCCACCCATGGAATCCCAGTTAAGCAGTTAAACTTAATGTTTAACCAGTTAACTGCAGCTACTCTTTCACAATTCCTCACAGGCTTTAAATTCATTAGAAGAAACTATATCATATGGATGGATGAAGAGAAAGCCAAGACTAGAGAAGATTGAAGCTGTTCTGCAGGTTGTTCCTCAGCTTTTAGGACTTCTTCCTGATGCTTAGTACTGATCCCAGAACCAGATGCTGTGAATGGAGCAAACCAACGTGCAGGCTGCCCCCAGATAAGAGCAGTGAATAGGTGTAGCCAGACAGACACCCCCCCCATATCATCCATCTTATTTGCCCCTCTGAAGCATACAGGGCAGAGAAGGAGCAATAAAATCAGCATAGTCTATGCTGGCTCATCTGATCCTGAGAAGCTGAAAAAAACCCACAGATATGTGGAGAGAGAGCGATTAAATCAGTAAGCTGGCCTCGAGGCTGCGAGAACTGCCCCTGGCTGGCACCCATGTTGATACGAACACACAGTCCCTGGGAGAGGAATTTCCCACTGAGAAAAGAATGCCCAGTACTTCCAATTTAGTTATCTCTCTTACAAGTGTAAATTAAGTTCACAACTCCCTTGTAAGAACTGGTCTCACAAGAGACAGACCAGCACCATTTGGCATGATAGATAAGAAAGAGAAATACGTGACCCCATGGGTATAAAGCGACCCGGGGCCTCCCGTCGCCCTGATGGCTAGTACCAGTAATTGACACGCCTGCACTGTCCCAGGCGAGGAATCTTCGCCCATCACATACCAGAGGTGCCCATTGTCTGCATTTTCCCAGGTGTAAATTATGCTTTGCACCCTTCGTGGGAAACTTGGCATTCAAAGCCATTTTTCCTAATTGGCCACTTGAGCCCAGGAAGAAGCCTACATGACCCAAGGGGTATAAAAAGAGGTTCAGCCGCCCACCCCATTTGAGCTCCAATCATCTATACCTGCTGGCAGGTATTGATTGTCTCCCGAGGTCTGTGGGACGCCCCACCTCGCCCTACTTCTTCCCGAGGGATTGAGAGAAAGACGCTGGCCACGCCAAGTCTGGAACGCAGGGGTGAGAATATATACCTGCTATGTGTCTATTTTGCATGCATTTAATAAGAGCTCAGAGAACCAAAAGGGTTTCATGGTACCTGTAAGTGACTTCTTAGTGTAATTTCTGTCCTGTCCTTTGTAGTGGCTGTGTTATCTGTAACACAGCAATAGCATTTAACAACTAAGTTTACCTTGTAACAATAAAATAGTAACTGTTTAAGCTTTAACCTGACTCCTTCAGTTGCTGTAACAGAACCAAGCACAATTTAAAAGAACTTCAGCCGGTCATAAGGGACTCACTGCCCTGACCGTCGGCTGACAGAATTGGCGTAGTCGGCAGGATTGTGCTACTGGTTCACATACAGCAACATGAAGCCTGTCATGATAGACATGGATTTTAGTGGTATAGAGAAAGGGTTTGCCCAGGAAGGTTGGGGCAACCCAAAATGGGATAGAGAAATGTTAGAAAAGGATTGGGGAAATCTTGAGGAGTTGTGGGTGCAGTTCTGTAAGTATACAACTGCCTGAAAGTTAAGAATGGGACAAAGCCTGAGTCTGAGGAAAGGAGCCACTTTCCATTTAGCAAGGAAAACAGGATCAGGCCCAGACAAGCAGGCAGGTAACAGATAGATTGAAGGCCTTGTGGTAGAACTGAGAAAAAGGCAGTAAGTACATGTACTGGAAATCTAAATCCTTAAAACAATACTTACAAGAGTAATATCTGAAACAAGGCCAGTTTTTATTTTAGAGATAAGAAAGTGTTTTAAGAAAAGAAAAACACAGAGAATGGAGAGAATTGAGCAGTTGTGCAAATGCTAAAATGGTATAGATAGAAAATTGTGGTTTCTTTGCAGCCATTCTGAAGGAAAAATGGGCCCTTTTTCCAAAGGAATGTCTGTAAATAATCCAGGCAAATTTGACTCAAATCTGTACATTTGATTAGAGAGACTGCTAAAAGACCTCTAAAGGTTTGAGAGAAGAGTGCTTAGGTTTCAGTTGCACTCTCCAATTTGTGCTCACCTCTCTTTCCAGTACCATTAAAACAATCCATAAATAGGGTGGAGGGGAAACAAGAATTAAAATAACTGGGAGGGATGTTAAACATAAAAAAACCTTACTAACTAGAACAGATCTATTTTACACATCATCATACACAACACAAAGACACAACTGTTCTGGTAATGAACAGGAGTTCTGATAACTGCCATGTGTGATAAGAAGGAACCAAGTGAGGTTAAAAGCAGATCTGCCTTTTAAACACTGGTGCATGACAGCAGAGGAAGCTCAAACCACCCAGCAGGCACAGCTGAGGGAAAATGTTTCCCTGACAACCCAGTGTTAAGGCCCTGACATCAAGCATGGAATGCACAAGTACAATCACTTGAAGAACTACTCAGTAATCTTAACGTACCTAAACAATTAGATACGGTAATTGGAAATGTACTGTCAAAATCAAGACCTCGATAATCATCTCCTTCATCATTAGCCAATAAACTGAAACATTTATTAAATAAACAGCAGAGAACAAAAATGGGTAAATTTGAGTAAATCAGAGAATTTCTACCTGCACTGAGAATTTGTTGACCATTTTGCCCATGGTATCTGATTTTTGTTGGAGGAGCACTATGTCCCATTCGGCATCTCAACAAACGACCACCACCTCCAGGGCCATCAAAGATCCATATCTGCTCAAGAAAAGCAAAATGGGACATCAGTAAAAGATCTGAACAACAAAAATAACCATGAGTTCAGTATCTTGAGGATTACTGAATATGCTGATATAACTGAAAAGAGCTTAGCACAGGAGAGGACAATTTTAGAAAAGGGAGGGGGGGCACTTCACAAATTTTTGAAGCGACCCCAAGCTGCCCTAGGAAGGGTGGGGCCTCAGGTGAAAGGGGTGGGGGCAGAACACTTGTGTCCCCTCCCTCCCACAGATCCTGATTGACCGAGGGGGGAGGGGGGACAGAGGGAGCATGTGAATTCCCTAGGGGCCTAGAGGGAACTGCCAGCTGTTCTGAGCATCTGGTGGTTCTCTCTAGGTATGGTGTGCCCCTGGCATGTGGGAGTGCACAAAATCGCCTCACACCCTGCTCCCACACTTTAGGGGGTGCATGGTGCCTAGAGTGAAGCACCAGCTGTTCAAAACATCTCCTGGCAGGGGGAGGAGATTCTGCACGCTCCCCCATCCCCAGGTCTCAATTGGACTGGATCAACCCCCCTGCAAGGCCAGATCCAGCCCACAGAGGCTCTCTTGCCCACCTCTGGCTTAGCACAATGGGTAGTAGCAGAAAAAAGTATCTTACCTTTATAGCATTATCTGCACCATTAGTAACAAGAAGTGGCTCTCCCTGGACAAATGACATTCCAGCTACAGCTGTGGAATGGGCATTTCGCATTTGACTAATTAGCTTGTTCTCTTCAAGATCCCACAGTGCAATATGTCCAATAGGACTTCCAGCTGCCATGACTGGATGCCCATCTGATCACAAAATGAAAAATAAAATCAACACATACACAAGACCTATTTACTATATATTGTTTACAGTTTTCAATCAATCCTTTTAGCTTTTCAAAGAGTCCACATAAGACAAAATTAAAATAGTAATTTATCATAATGATCTAATTTTTAAGATGGAGAAAATGGCACAGCAGCATCAATAATAAGGCCAGGGGATTTACAATATCAGATCAGACCAGGCATATCTAGTTTTGTATCTAAGTCTGACAATGGCTTCAGAGGAAGATGCACGAAACCCTACCATGGACAGTTAATTGGATCTCTTTAGCTTTCAGAGTTAGATGAATGACAAGAACGGGTGCTACTCACACATCTCAGATATTGCTTTCTGGTAGTATGCTTAGTCACAGATATTTTACCAGCTGATACACATACCTTTTCAAGTTGGAGTTCACAATCATTAAAGCTAGATATCTATTTTGAATCAATGTTACTGCTTGCAAATGAAATTATAAAATATTGCTATTTACAGATTTTCATTGAAATACTCCCCTGTAAGATGTCATTTTTTTTCGATGATTAAAAAAATAAAAATCATACTATTAATCTTTGTAAAGTTAAAAAAGACACAATCCCAAGTTGTGTGCCTACAATATCTAAAATATATAATTCAGTGTTCTACTTTGCTGTTAATATCACCATTTTAATTTCATCTGCACACTAATCAAACTGCTAGAATTTACCTGTACGGAAAGATATTGCTGTGATGGGACCCCAGTCTTGCTGAAATTTCATCAGTGTTTCATCAAACTTAATGTTGTGCACAATGATATGACCAGACACGAGACCGATTGCAACTACATCAACTGCTGGTGCCTGTGATTACAGTTAAATTATGACAGAAATTAAAACAGATTCCACTCCATCCTTCTGTATTTTTCCTATTAAAAAACATGATGTACACTTTAGCATATATTACAACATCACTTGGTCATTTACTGTTCAGACTGAGCTTACAAAGCAAATGTATTTCTTCTCAGCAAATTAGGCAGGGATACTGCTCCATGCTAGCCAAAAAATTAAGTTTGAAATTACACGAAGTCAGAATGAAACCCTTCAGTGCACAAGAGCAACAACATTTAGTGAAGTAGGAAGAAGTTCATGGATATGCAACTAATGGGAAGGAATGCATTAGATCAGTATAAAAATAATTTAACATATATTTAAGCAATTAACCTTTCCTAGAAAAATATATCTTGGTAGATAACAGTACTAGATGTCTCCCTTTAAATATGTTTGACTAAGTCTAGTAAATTTCAAATCTGTTACTTGTTCGCTGTATGCTGCCCAATCTGTGCACGTAAGGGACAGTGAGAGATATTTAACTAAAATCGGCACAGTATAAAATATGCCCAAATATGCACATCCGCACAAATATGCACATTTTCTGCTGCATTTCACAAACTTAGTTTCTGTATGGAATACGTTACATCAAGTTGTGTGCAACCTATTTAATGTCCATAAAGCTTTTCCTATACCAGTAATCAGGGCTCGACAAATCCGCTTATCTACTCGCCCGTGGCAAGTACATTTCAGCCAGTTGCCCCGTTCACTGGCGGTTCACGCATGCGCAGTGTGGGGCTGGCGAGTGGTTTTCATCACGGTTTGTCAAGCCCTGCCAGTAATACTACAGGTACAAGTTAACCCAGTGGTCCCCAACCTTTTGGGGCTGCCAGGTGGCTGGGGGCAGGGCTGGGCCCAGGGCTGGCACCGCGCATGTGCTGGGGCGCAAGAATGGCTCGGGCCGGCCCTGGTCACTAGGCGGGCGCCTGCAAATACCTCATAGGGGACCACTGATATGTATGACACTGAAGTAAATTTAAGTCTAAAATAAATGGTTTAACCTTACAGTCAAGTACTGAATAAATCTTACACTGATTCCCACCACATAATATCAATTTACATACTTTATAACTGAGCACTAACTAGTCTAAACATCAAGGTGAAACTAAACATATTGGCAATTCAAGTTAATTTGTCTAAAATTTAAATTGTTTGCAGCAGCTTGCACAGACAGTATTAAATGATATCGCCTCGTATCAGACTTTTAGTTTGTTTTTAACAGTCCCCTGCTTTTTCTTTCTGAAGTTGTTTTCATTTTGGGAAAAGTGTGGTATTTTTTCCCTATTTCTTTTAAAGCAAAAGAAATTTCAGAAGCAAGAAACTGGCAACATAATTAAGTGACCTACCATACGTCAACAGCCTACAAATAGTCACCAAAGTAGTCCTTACTCACTGGAGTAACTACAATGAAGTTAAGAAAGTTATTTGTGTTAGTAAGGGTTTATAGAGCTGAACTAGACTATATGCTTCTCAGAGCAGAGATATTATCTATACTCTCTGTCCACAATATGCACCTTTAGCATTGTACAAGAATGTTAAACAACATTGACAGAGGTTCTATAGTTAGTTACCTTTTCTAAACTAAAGCAGTATCAAAAATACTAACCTGTTCAAGGGTTGTCACACCAGAGCCCCATCCTGGAAAGGAGTATAAAAGTTTGCTGAGAAAAGAAAATGTTTTAAAAGTTACATTTAGAAAAAGTCTACATCAAAATGAATGTAACAAGGACATCTGGAAAGAAGTGTGAGAGAATGGTGGCTAGCAGTAAACAGAAACTTATGCAATTTAAATGTTAGGGTAACATGATTATTTATATGGAAAAGTTAAAAACTGTATTGGTGCATTGTGTCTTTCGGATGAGATTATTTCCAGGCAGAGCAGTGGCAAGTGTGAGTGCAAAAGAAACTGTACATGAGCTTCTGATTACAGAATGTTTGAAGCATGATGCAACGTTATTGATTAGAAAATGACATAGCTAAGAATATGTACTCTTACTGGAAACACCAATAAAAATATTCTGGTAAAATAGTTTGGCTCTGTCCATTAGTTGAATAATAAAACAAAAATTTTAAATTTGCATACAATACAAAAATCATTCACATCTTTTTTTATACTTGTGTAACAAGGCGGATTCACTTAAATTTTGATTACCATAAATACTCCCATTGATGGCATGGGATTATGTAAACCAGGGTGCATCTACACTGCAGGGCCTAACTCAAAATAAGCTACGCAAATTGAGCGACGTCAATGTGTATCTTATTTTGAAATAGCTTATTTTGAAATAGCGAGTGTCTACACAGCACTTATTTGAAAATTGAGCACTCTTCCTCCAACTTCCCTTATTCCTCATTGGTAAGTGGGAGAATGCTGAAACTAGATCAAGCAGTGAATTCATTTCAAACTTCAAATCACTTAATTTTTGTACTGCAATTATAGCACCATATAGCCACCTTTTATTTTTATTCAAGAGGGATACTACTGAAAATTAACAATTGCTATGGGAACAAACCTTAAATCACTTGACACTAGTGTAAATTCTCATTAAGTGTAGTGCTATACATTTTCACACTAGATTTACCCGGCGCTGCTTGGGTCCTCAACTCAACATACTTTTGTTTTTTGGAAAATAAAATTGGGATCAGGCTAGGGATAAGAGGTTCACTATGCAGGTTGCCCTGGGGAGAGAGGACAATCCCAGTCCTCTCTCATCACAGCAGCTGGAGGCCAGGTGAGAAGCACCTCTCAATGGCCACTGCAGATCCAGCAGGCACAAGCAGGGGAAGGGTGCATGTCCCCCAGCTGGGGCAGGTCCAGGTTAATCTGCACTCTCCAGCCAGAGTGAGGAATGCAGCCAACTCTGCACTTTCCCCTTGCTCCCTGATGAAGGGGAACAGCCAGCAATGTTCCCATACAAATCAGGGGGTGGGGGGTTTCAGACCACCCTGCTCCCTAAAGGGCACCTGGTGGGTGGGAGTCTCAGGACTGGATCCCTAAGGTGGAGGGGAAGAAGGGGGGGGAATAGAGGACTGTGCTCCCAACTAGCCCCTTGTACCTGTCTGGTGATTCTGTCTCTTTTCTGTATGGTTTTCAGAGACACAATTCCATTCCAAGCACATCCCATTTTCCTGGCACAACAAAACCCTTACCTTTAAGTTATAAGAGGGAGCTGCATACCAAATTTGGTGATCTTAGCTCTTACCATTTAAGAGGAGTTCTTGAACAAAACAGACAGACAAACTTTCAAAAATATAGTAGTTATATAGTGTGTGTATGTGAAGACTAGATCAATACCCATAGTGAGGTCTGCCACTCTAGAGTTGGAAATAACAGGTTAATCTTTCCATAAGCTGTCTAAGTAATTGTACTTTAACTTAGTAGGACTGTGAAAGCGTGAATGTGTACATTGTTACACACAGCCACCCCTCCCTCCAATGTGCTGCTGCCTCTGTAACAGAGGCAGCAGCACAGGGCGCAGGCTGCTCCCTGGGAGACATCTTAAAAGCCCCAATCCATATGTAAGTGTGTAACCATCAGCAGTTACATGTTTACCTCAAATTCTTTAGAGACTGTGCTAGCTAATGTTATTTTAAAAATTTAAGTTTCTAACTCTGGTTGTGAAGATATTCTGAATGTGTCCCAGTGCAGTGGCAAGTCTGCAAGAAAATATAGCTACTGCTTCGATCTTAAGGGTCAAATGCTGCTTCCTTCCACACAGGAAGTGAAGGCCCTAAGACAGTGAGGGACAACCAAGGCTCATGAGTTGGCCACATGTGTGGCCCACTGAGATGAATGAGGGCTACTCAATTCCCATAACCGCAATGGTCTGCTGGGATAGGATAATTTTGCAAACTGCACTTGTGTACCTAGAATTTGCAGGGTGTGCTAACTGAATAGGAGCAGCACTTTGACTGGATGCAGAAAGAACGTGTGGCTCTCACAGTCCATGTTGCGTACAATCAGCACACATCTCAGTTTACATGTTCTTGATTGTGCATCTCACTTTTGTAACATAAGTAGGAAAAAAACTACATGGACAAAATCCAGTAGAATCTGGCGATATTGCGTATGGGCAACAGTCACACATAGAACCCCAATGGGCTGTAGGTAGCCCTTAAGCAGCAGGTTGCCCATCACTGCCCTAAGATACAGTAAAGCCTCCACTCTGCAAGGGTGAGGGGAAGGAGGAAAGAAAACGTAACAGTCTATACAAGAGGACTCTCCTGACAGTGGAGTTTTATAGTTTGGCAAAAAGAGAGCAGATGAATGGTTAGATTTGCCACCATATAAATTCACAGATCTAATGAGCCCATCACACATGAGCGATAAAGGCCTACCAGCTATTACAAAAGCCACGTGCTAGATATGGTCTTTTGTATTAATGTGATTATTGGAAGTCAATGGGATTTGGCCATCTCAGTGTATAAGTCATTTTGGAAAATGGCATTTTGAAAATCTAATAAGACGAATGAACCCACAGCATCATTTCCATTACTTCACAGCAAAAAGTTCCTGGCTAGAAAAATAGCACTTTCAGCCACATGAAAGAATCAGCTAACTTGCTCATATTTCTGAAAACACCACAACACTCTGGGACTCTTCTGCTGACGGAGTTAGACAAATAGATCTATATTAACAGATCACTTAATTTAGAAAACTTTAAAACTGTGTAAAGCTCCATCTTGAGTGTGAAATGTAGTTAAAGAATGAAGGATCTTACTTGGATTTTACATTCCATAATTGCAGGCTTCCTTGTTCACTGCCAAGAAGAATTTTATTTAAGTAGGTACTTGGATGCATAATTGCAGAAACTGCAAAAACAGCCTTATCAAAATTCAGTTGTAGGTATTCTTCTGCAGACATAAGAAACATAATAGTTTCAGAATAACATAATAGTTATTGTTGCTATTACAAACATTCCACATTAGCCATTACTTGCACATTTTTAAATACTAATCATTCCACCTTTTACATGCACAAATGAAAAGGAAGCCTTACAACTGGCATTTCTTGCCTGGAAGTGCCAGAAACTCGTATGAAGCTGCTCAATCCCATGGCAAGATATGAAGCTTACTTTATATTACCTTGCTTTAAGTTATGATAAGAGGGAGCTGCATATCAAATTTGCATACCAGCAGAACAGATTTATACCATCATGAAGGATTTTGCTTTCTGAGCAATACATCTCACCTAATCAACATGTCTTCTGTTTGCATTATAACAAATAGTCTTTTTAATACATGAATTCCAACTTAGAAGCATAGTCGCTATTTTAAAGGTTGTTTAATAGCACAAAGCACCACAAGAGAACCTGTCAGGCTAACAAGCCATTACTCGATACCAACACCTAAGAATTCTCTGAAAAGAAAGAATTAAGCTACTGAAGTGTGATCCCACCTAACAGCAAGCCATCAAAACCTTATTTAGATTTGGCACAATTAGACTTTAATAATTTCAGTGGGCAATATTTTTATTTTTAAGCATTTTTTCTATTTTAATTTTCACAGTTGTGGGAAATTATGAGAGGGGTCAGACAATGGGGTAGACAATTATTTAATGAGAACAGATTAACTTTTTTGAATTTCAAAACTTTACAACTATTAATAGCAGAGCTGTCAAACTGTTAAATTAAAAGTGATTAATCATGTTTAATCACACTGTTAAAGAATAGAATAAAATTTATCTAAATATTTTTGGATGTTTTCTAGATTTTCAAATTAGAACAGAATGCAAAGCGCACAGTGCTCAATTTATATTTTCATTACAAATATTTGCACTGTAAAAAATAAGAAATAGTATTTTTCAATTCACCTAATACAAGTGCTGTAGAGTGCCATCTTTTTATTATTAAAGTTGAAGTTACAAAAAGTAGAATAACAGTATTCAAAAATAAAACTGTAAAACTTTAGAGCCTACAAGTCCACTTAGTCCTACTTCTTGCTTAGCCAAATACTAGGATAAACAAATTTAGTTATGATTTGCATGAGGGAATACTGCCCCCGGTCTCTTGTTTACAATGTCACCTGAAAGCAAGAATGGGCATTCACATGGCACTGCTGTAGCTAGCACTGCAAGATATTTGTGCGCCAAATATGTATGCTAAAGATTAATGTGTCCCTTCATACTTGAACCACCATTCCAGAAAACATATGTCCATGCTGATAACTCATTCTGCTCAATAATGATCTAAAGCAGAGCATACTGACATGTTCATTTTCATCATCTGTATCAGATGCCACCAAGAGGAGGCTGATTATCTTTTTTGGTGGCTGTTCTGTAGTTTTTCCATTGGAGTACTGCTCCTTTAAGACTGTGGCACATGCTCCACATCTTATCCTCCTCAAATTTTGGACGGCACTTCAGATTCTTAAACCCTGAGTCAAGTGCTGTTGCTATTTTTAGAAATCTCACATTGGTACCTTCTTTGTATTTTGTCAAATCTGCAGTGAAAATATTCTTAAAATAAACATGTACTAGGTCATCATCCGAGACTCTAATCACATGAAAAATATGGCAAAACATCAGTAAAACACAAAGGCGACATACAATTCTCCCCCAAGGAGTTCAGTCACAAATTTAATTAACACTTTTTTTTTTAAATGAGCAATAAGCAGCATGGAAGCATGTCCTCTGGAATGATGGCCAAAGCATAAAAGGGCATATGAATGTTTAACATATCTAGCATGTAAATTCCTGGTAACGCTGGCTACAAAAGTGCCATGCGATCACTAGTTCTCACTTTCCAATGAGGATGCTGCCTGCTTATTTATAGTATCTCCTGGAAATGTAAACAAATGTCTTAGTAATAGGCTGAACAAGAAGTAGAACTAAGTGGACTTGTAGGGTCTATTTTGTTTTTGAGTGCAGGAATGTTAAAAAAAAAATCTACTTTGTAACCTGCACTTTCATGATAAAGACTCTGCACTACAGTATTTGTATAACATGAACTGATGACATGAACTGATTCAATTCCTTTATCATTTTACAGTGCAAATATTTGTACTTAAAAATACAACTTGAGCACTGTACACTTTGTATTCTGTGTTGTAATAGAAATCAATATATTTGAAAACGTGGAAAAGAATCCAAAATATTTAAATCAAACTCCACGTTCTCCAGCAGCATTTTTTTTATGCTGCCACTCTGTAAGATTTCAATCACCATCAGTAGAAAGATTTTTCCACTGTTTGTGCACACATGGTGAAACTGACAAAAAAAAAATCTAATCCTTTTAAACATATTCGTTCAATAACATGCAAGACTACTGAAACAACTAAAAGAACAGCCATAGGCACTTAATCATTTTCTACTAAAGCAAATAACTTCTGTGCCATACCCAGAGTCAAAGATACTGAGAATTTTAGGACTCTCCATGACACCAAGATTCCTTCACCAAAACTTTCATGAACAAAGAATGTTAAGAAATAAGGAGTTATTCATGATTAGATATCTGCACCCACATTCTTCTCCTCAATTCTTATTCTTCCCAAAGTCCACTAATGAAGTTCACTGCAGGATCAGGATTGCAAACATCAATGCAGCAACTGTTTTATTTTTGCCCTAAGAAAATTAAGAACTTTGACATACTTATTAAACAAATTACCTTATATTATTTCATGTTTACTGACTTTATCACATACCAGCGATACAATTCTGTACAATTACAGAATGAAGAAATAATGACTCACCTTCTGACTGTATATCCCAAACAATAAGAACATTATTAATATCCACAGAGATGACATGATCACCAAACGGCTGCAAAAGGTGAATCTCTCCTTTGTGACCCTCATATATATGAACTACCTATGGTTTCAAAGTGCAAAATATTTCAGGAGAACAGTTCACTTATTTTGATATAATTGAATAACAACAACTATCTGTAACAGAAATCTGTTAAAACATAATTTCATACTAAAGGTTGAACCGCTGTAGTTTGGCACCCTCAGAACCTGAGAGGTACTGAACCAGAGATTTTGCTAAACTACAGGAGATCAATATCATCTAGCAGCATTACCAATACTTCCACTGCTTACTGGGCTCTTAAGACATTCAGGGGTAAATTAGAGCTAAATAACAGCACACAACACTGAGAGCCCAGACTGGTGGCTGTAAACCAAGTTTATGGGATTTTGGGAAACTTGGCCATACCCATAGTAAGTGGACATCCAGCTAACAAAAATCATGCTGGACCATGGATGTTGCTGGATCAGAGAGCGTCGGACTAGAGAGGTTCAACCAGTATAATTTATCTAGGAAATATGACCCTTTATTAGGCCTCATTTATGATAACTTCCTTAGTACTGAAAAATTGCATTTGGCAAATCTTAGTCATTATATTTTCCACTTTGGCTCCCTGAAGTTTATTTCCTTATCGGAGTGCTGTTACTTTATAACTGTCACAGCCCACCACTGTTAAATCTGTCCTTAAACCTTTTTATTTCAATTTATTCATTGGTGTTATTGCTGAGCATTATATGGCTGCTGGTCTAAAACTCAAATTAAATTACTGTTGATATGAGTAAGTTATTTAAGCAAGAAAAAATATTTATATTCGTTTAGTGCAAAAATAAGTGATAAAAACCTCTTTGTTGCGGGCAAAAGCATGGAGAAGGTTGCCATATGAAGCAAAGACCAACATTCTGTCTGCTGCCAAACAAGTAATGTCTTGTAATAAAGCATTACCTATGAATAAAGAGAGGAATAAGCTCGACAATATTCATTTTCACAATAAAAAGTCTTATAATGTGTCAATGCATTCAGGGTTGTAACTTAACAATAAATTAAGGTGCACAACAAAGAAAACAGATGATCAAATATTGTCTTTGGGCAATACCTGGATAAATTATTTGAAATGTTTTTATTTGGATTGAACATGAGAAAATATGTAGGAAACACTGAGTTAGGGTATGAATTAATTTTTTTAATTTGGCTACATAATACATGACCAAAGCTATCAAAAAAATAACATTTTCAAGACTAACAGCCCAAGAGCAGCCTTTTTAAAAGATCTGAATGCATCTTAAGATTACATCATACAAGTTACCCAAAAAGTATTTTCATATTTGTCATCAAATCTTTAGGTCAGTTTCACACATCCCATTGTAAAATCTATCCCATTGTAAAATCCAACTTTTGGTAGCTTATAGCTTTGCCAACCTTAAATCATATGGACTGAAATTTTTCATACTAAGTGTGTCCTTAAGGTTGACTGTTTTTAAAAGGAAATGCTAATGTTGCCTGTGCAATCTTAATTAGGGGACCCAAGTGCATATATTCATTACATACAGACTGTAATTACATAATCCACAGGACCTCAATTCAGTGAATAGGTTGGACGGGATTCAAGGAATTAATAACGGCTGTATACTTAATTTGTTGCATACTAGCCCCCTGTATACTTGTCACAAATATTGGAAGGTGTAGTGTATGGGGCAGGAGACTGCAGGGGAGAAAGGATAGTTTGTTGTTAAGGCAGATGAATGCCACACTGGTGAATTGGATTCTACTGGATAATTGGATTCTACCCTTTCCTTTGATATAGCGTTCATATGGGATACTAAACAAATCACTTAAACCAAACCTTTCATGAGTGGCCTCTACGTGAGATACTAGTATTTACATTTGCAGAACTGCTGAGCACTTAAGTGCAAATAATGTCAACAGCAGATGAGCTTTTCAGATATGAAGTATTACAAAAATACTGAGTACTCTTAATAAAAACCCCACACCTCAGTATCCATTCCATAAAATGGAGATACTATCACCAAATCCCTGTGAAGATAAATTCATTAATGATGTGAAGTACTGAGATACAAGGAAATGGCCATGAGGAAATCTGTTTTCAGTTCAGGATTTGAATAATGTGTATTATGTAACGGCTGGGGCCACACTTTATGAGTAGGTTAAGTAACCTTGAATATGTATCCATTAGGGATGTGATAGTGTAAATGGTTAAACAGTTAACTGATGAGCCAAGGCTCATGTTACCCTTCACAGTTACATGCTAGGTCCTCTGCTGCCTGTGTATCAGAGGCAGTGGGGGAGGGAGGGGAAAACAGGCGGGAGTTGGTGCTCACGGGGAGCCCACTCTCACCTGTCCCCACTGCACACAGAGAGGGGCAAGGAGCAGCCATCTCTCCGGAAGCAGTTGGGAGCTTGCTTAAAAGCCAGCTCCCCGCAACCACCAGTTCCTGCCTGCTGTTACAGGTTGCTTTTAAACATCCCTAGTAATCATTTACTGAACAAGAATGGGGTTCTGTGGAAAAAACATAGTAAGCGATCATAATATAGATTGGCCAGCGCTGACCTGGAAAAGGTGCAATCTGCTGACAACTGCAGGGTCTACTCAGACAGAAGAGAGGCTGGCATTGACCGAGTGGGAATTTAGGGGGGCTACTGGGAGAAGAGGCAGGGTGGCTGAAGAGCCCTGCAACTAGAGGGCCAAGAGCACACTGATCCATAGCTACTCTGTCTCTTGCCCAAAGCATCCCCTCATCCCTGCTCCTCCCCGTTTTTGCCCCCAAACTCGAGCACAGCAAAAGTTGCAGCAATCTGACTATAGAAGTCCAACCTGTATATACCAGAAGTGCAGAATTAAGGTTGAACAGTTTTTGCCAACTTTTAAGTGCTTGATTTTACAATCATAGCATTATTTTAAACAAATATTATTTATAACTACTTATGTCAAAGTATCTCTCATTACACCATTCATGCCTATACAAAAGTTAGCGGTTTATAAAAAAATGTAATTTGCGTGATGTAGAACTGTATACTTACTAACTGCAACTATACCAAGTTTCTTTACCTGTAAAAAATAAATAGAAACTTTAGTGGTTTTCTGCTTTGAATTTCATACAAATTCCAATCAATCGGGGATGTAAAATCCAGTTTAATCAGCTAATTGGTTAAATATTAGGTTTAATTGATCAAGTGGGATCCTGGGTGGGGGCCCACTCCAGCCCAGCTGAAACAGCCAGCAGTTCATGGGGCTGCAGGCTCTGCCAGCCTGGCTCCCAGTGCAGTGGGTCCTAGCGGGGCTGGAGCAGCCCTCCACCCACAGTGGGCACAGGCTGCTCCCAGACACCGGTTAACATCCCTACAATCCATATACCACCCACTTAGCTGCCATCTAACTCTGTAGACACTAAGTTCCCAGATGCCTAAATTTCCATTGTTAAAATTCCCTAGGAACCTAATTTTCTGCCAACAACTACATGGACAGCTGCCCCAGCATATCACATGCCTAAGACTCACTGGAACCTAGGGATTAAGCAACTAGTCGACTATCCGATAAGCAAGCGCTTATTGGATAGTCCACTAGTCCCTCGACTAATTGAAGTTTTAGATCACTGAAGAGCTCCTGATTAAGCCAGGACGTTCTCTTGCCATAATCCCTACCTTTCCTACTCAGTGTGAAAAACTTCCAAATGTACTGAACCATTTTCAGTCTTAAATGGGATTTTACCTCCCAACCACCTGATTTTGCTTAAGTCTACCTTCTTGAAATTCATTATCTTCCTAAGGATGTTAAATTGCAGCTATTTTACTAGACGAGTACAGGCAGTCCCTGAGTTACATGGATCCGACTTGCATCGGATCCCTACTTACAAACGGGGTGAGGCAAACCAGCCCTAGCTGCTTCCCCTCAGCAGACCAGGGAGATGCGGAGCGGCTTTTCTCAACAGACACCTCAGCTTGAGAATAAAGGACTGAGGGAAGTGAGGTGTGGGAGAATAAAACTGAGCTCTGGAGAAATGTTTGGCTAGAGTTTCCCCTACAATATGTACCAGTTCCGACTTACATACAAATTCAACTTAAGAACAAACCTACAATCCCTATCTTGTACGTAACCCGGGGACTGCCTGTAGTTGATGGAATTTCCATTGACTACTCAACTAGTCCATAGGCACTTCCACATTCCTCCTCTGAAATGTACAAGAGGCCCAGCAGGGAAGTCTCGCTGACTCCGAGAGGCTTTGAAGTGTTCAAGAGGGGGCTCTTGTACATTTCAAAGCAGAAGCGCGCTCATGGAGCCCAGGGTCAGCAGAGGACTCAAGAGTCCCCCGCTGACCACGGGCTCCATGTTGCGCTGCTGATTTGAAATGCCACGCAGAGCCTGGGATGAGCTGGGGAGTCCCCAGCTGACCCTGGGCTCCAGGCCCTGCTGCCACTTTGAAATGCCAAGGGACAGCGCTACACAGCTGAGCCACTACTGCCCTTAGAAGTACCTCCTCTTCTCTTCCCAACCCTTTGCTGCCTCTGATAGAGGCAGCAAGGGCGGGGGAAATCAACATGTTGAATGACTATCCAATAAGCATTTGCTAGTTGACTAGTCTTTAACATCCTTATATCTTCCCTCTGCTGTTTTTCAGCCTACAACTCCTTAAACTAATAAACTCTAATCATTTGATGATCAACTTCACACAAGCTGCATTCCATGTTCACCAACAGTTCCTCCCTATTTGTAAAAACACAAATCTTGGACAGACTCTCTCTGCTAGATATTTTCCTGCAAAGCATTCCAAAGCGTCATACTTTCTGCTTTATTAGATTAACTCCAGATTGTGTGGCCCAGGTGACTGGAGAAGACTCAACATTATTCCTCAGGAAAATCTGTAGCGAGATGGGGGAAGGTGCTGCGGACAAGCTGACAGGAAGCAGAGAGGGGCTGCTCTTCTGGGCAGGGCGACACAGGGTGGGTGGCACCGGCATGCGCTTTGCTTTCACTTTTCCCTGCTTGAACGAGGTGGGTGAGGAAATGGGGCTGGGGGCAGATCCTGCACGAGCCTCGTAACGCCCGACATGGAAAGCCAGGAACCCGCTGCAGAGGCGCGGGGGCAGGCGAGGAGCGGGAGCGGGGCACTCACGTTGTAGGTGTGGAAGCTCCTTCCCGCCGCGGTGAGCAGGTAGAACTCGCGGTGGCGCGCGTGGTAGCGCAGCACGTGGGGCAGGTGGCTGGAGTAAAGGCCGAGCGCGCGAAAGCCCGAGAAGAGCGCGCTGCCGCCGCCCTCACGCGACATCCCCCAGGCCGGGCCAGCGGCACCCGCTCTCACAAAAGCACGTGTCCGAGTGCGCCGCGGAAACCGAACCGAGCCGCCCCTTCCGGCCGCGGAGCACCCGCGAAATCGGCCCCCCTGCACCTGCGTGCCCGCGCTCTGAGTTCCGCCTGCCGAGAGTCCCCCGAGGCAATTGTGCCTACGCAAGCGCTGTCCCCTGCCTGCGACTAGTTTTCGGCCGAGCTCCTTGTCTACGTCAGCGCGTTCTCTGGGCCGTTCTCCGTTGCTCCAAGCACTGCGCCCGCGCGCCCCGCCCCCGGCGCGCCCTTGCCCGCCCCAGCTGCTGCTGCGATTCCTGCCCCTGCTGCCGGGCTCGCTCTTTGCTCGCAGCCCCAGAACGCGGATCCGGGCTGTTACCTAAAGGTGCGAGTCCCCCTTGGCTCCAAGAGCTGGCGCGTTCACAGCACCAGTTACCTGGAGCCCCCTCGCTGACCTGATCCCCAAGCCGCAAACACGGCCCGTGGCTTTACCGGGTTCTGCAGATCGCACCAGACGTGGAAAAGGGGGAAGGGTGGCAACACCGCAACGATGAAAAGCACCTGTCAGTGTGGATGATTAGATTGATAATCACTGACATTAATATTCCCCATCCTGCCTGACATGGCGCTAACAGCCCACTCCTACACACTTGTAAGCTATGTCTACACTGCAGGCTTGGTACCATCTACCTGTTTTGTTAGTCTATAAAGTGCTACCAGATCATTTGTTGCATTTTTCTCCTGTTTTCACTCAAGTCTGGCATTCTCTTTAGGGTTGCCGTCTCTCAGGGACCAGAAAGCCAAATCACGTCTAGAATAGTAATAGAGATGTACGTGGGCGGCAGGTAGTATAATTTTTGGTGGTGCCCCATTAGCCACGCCCCCTGGCCCCTGTTAGCCACGCCTCCTGGCAAACGCCCTCCCCACCCCGTTAGTCATGCCTCTGGAGGTAACACGCTCGGGCAAGATGGACACATGACCAGAAGTAAAAGGTGTCATGTCACCCCTCTCGAAGGGCTTTTCCCACCATCCTCCTGCCAACAGAGATTAGTTTGGCCCCCATCAAACCCCCCTGCATGCAGCTATGCTGCATTTGCATTAACCCAATGTGTGTGACATTAACTCGGGGGCAGAGAGCTGGGGGAAGTGTTCCTTCTAAGGCTATGTCTACACTTGCGGCTTCTTGTGCAAGTACAGCCGTTCTCGAGCAAGAACCCACAAAGCACTGCTGCACCCATAAATGGGGGTGTTGGCTCCAAAAATGGTATAAAAGGGGGCCATGTGAGGTGTTGAATAGAAGCTTACTGTCTGCTAATCCTATGTACGGTAGTCATGTGATTATATAATGTCTGTGTGTGTAGTTAGGAATCTGTAATCTGTGGGGATACTGAATATTTCTCTGTATGTGGTTGAGCATTGGGCAGAGCCCGGCCTATGGACATGCTAATTATTGAGGCCCTGTGGGACAATGACACTCAATGGACCAAGGACGCACCTACAGAATGAGGGCTGACACCTAAGGGCTGCCAGCAAGGAACACAGAGATAGGCCGCTGGCCAGGTGATCTGCTGCAGCCAAGAAGAGACCAGGAAGGATATATAAAAAAGCTATGTGGCGGACTCCATCCTGGTACTCAGCTCAGCACTTCATCCCAGAGGTAGCAGTGCAGGGATCGAAGAGCCAGAAAGAACTGTGGACCCATCCTGACCCAGCTTGGGAATAGTGACCATAATATAATAACATTCAACATTCCTGTGGTGGGAAGAACACCTCAGCAGTCCAGCACCCTGCATTTAATTTCAAAAAGGGGAATTACGCAAAAATGAGGAGGTTAGTTAAACAGAAATTAAAAGGCACAGTGACTAGAGCCAAATCCCTGAAAGCTGCATGGAAACTTTTTAAAGACACCATAATAGAGGCCCAACTTAAATGTATACCCCAAATTAAAAAACATAGCAAGAGACCTAAAAAAGAGTCACCGTGGCTTAACCACCATGTAAAAGAAGCAGTGAGGGACAAAAAGGTATCTTTTAAGAAGTGGAAGTCCAATCCTAGTGAGATAAATAGAAAGGAACAGAAACACTGTCAAATCAAGTGTAAACACCATGTAAAAGAAGCATTGAGGGACAAAAAGGTATCTTTTAAGAAGTGGAAGTCGAATCCTAGTGAGATAAATAGAAAGGAACATAAACACTGTCAAATCAAGTGAAAACATGTAATAAGAAAAGCAAAAAAAGATTTTGTGGAACAGCTAGCCAAAAACTCAAAAAGAAATAACAAAATGTTTTTTAAGTACATTAGAAGCAGGAAGCCTGCTAAAAAACCTGTGGGTCCCCTAGATGATCGAGCTATAAAAGGAGCAATCAAGAATGATAAAGCTATTGCGGAGAAACTAAATGATTTCTTTGGTTCAGTCTTCACGGCTGAGGATGTTGGGGAGATTCCTGAATCTGCACCGTCCTTTGTGGGTGCTGAATCTGAGGAACTGTCCCGGATTGAAGTGTCATTAGAGGAGGTTTTGGAACAAATAGAAAAACTTAATGTTAACAAATCTCCGGGACCGGATGGCATTCATCCAAGGGTTCTAAAAGAACTCAAATGGGAAATTGCTGAGCTATTATCTGTAGTTTGTA